CCCTGCACTTATTTTTACACTCTATGAATAGGCATGAGTTGATTTTAGGTCTGAGGAGGAGAGGATTGAGCCTCTAAAACCTATTGGGCCTGCCAATATAAAGATATATGAATCTCATTTTGATTGGAGATCTACAAGTAAGACCAAAGATATTCCTTCTACATCAAGGACCCCTACTGAGTGGCCGGTAGTGTGAAATCCACTGTCATTAGATACGTACTCCTCCAAAGTGTTGTAACGCTCCAAGTGGAGGACGTTACGTTCTGGGCATTCCACAAATGCTCCCGTTGTCTGGTATCTGTCTAGGGATCTCAGTGTTGCACGTCGGACAACCCGCAAAAAGCTCATCTGTAATTGCCAGTAACGTCGGCTCTGTAGCAGACTCAGACTTGTCCTCTATGGTAGACAAACTGTATGAAGTCTCTCTCATGTAAGGGTCGTAGATTTTCCCTTAAAAAATTGGGGAAAGTTTTCTGCCTCTATTCGTCTTCTTCTTTCTTCACATGGGAAAGCTCTCTGTTTTCACGTACGGGTATGACACCTAGGCGCTAGTTCACTTTGTGCTCCTTTGCTCCATTTGATCCCATTTTGCTCCGTTTTTATCATTTTTCTTCAAAACTCTATCCCTTGTACCTGCAATAAAAAACAAGCAAAATCTAATCTTTTAAAGTGCAATATTATTAAAAATGAGTATAATATATATATATATATATATATACATATAATTTGTTTGAAAACATTAAAAGAAAACAGTCTAATAATATACATAGATAAATAAAAGAAAGATAACATTGGTGATAGTATAGCCATCACAAGTGTTTTTTATCGACACACACATTGTAACGAACAATCAACAAAAATTGAAAGTTAGATAATAAAGGTGGCATCCACCAACTAATTTTATATAATAGAGAAAATTATTTATCTAAGCATTTATGAGTATCTTTATTTTTCTCTTACAACATTACTTGAAAAACAATTAGTATGCCTAGCAAATTCAAATATCAATATTAAATTATGAAATTAATTAAAAATAAAAAAAATCAAAAGTTAAATTATAATTACTCAAATGATATTAAAAAAAAAGACATATCCTGAGGTTATTATACGAGTCCTCATCATCCCCCATGCGCCTAATAAATCGAGTAATACACTCTTCACCAGAAGAATCGAATCATAGATCAGAAAAGACTTATAACCGATAAATTGATGCCTGACCTGCGCATACAGCTCAAGCTCAACCCAACCAGTTTACACCCTTTGAATTGACTGATATGCACATAAATTTTTAAAACTGCGATACTTCCGCTAGCTTACAGGTCCGAACCTATTAAATACCGCCATGCGGGCAAACTCCGAAGCTCCTAGCTCCTTATGTATCTGGCCTCCCCTCAAACACTCGAATCTTCCACTCCACTCAACTCCCACGCTTCCTCGCCACCTTCCTTCCGCCTCTATCGTCGCCGTGGATGTCGGTGTTTTGCGGCCTGGAATGTGTCGTCTGTCTCGGCTGTTCTCGTTGGGCCTGGAAGCGCCTTACCTACATCGGTGCCTACGACTCAGAATCATGGCCACTTGCCACCACCGAAGCCTTCGAACCCGTACCCCGCATCTGCCGCACCATCCTCGCCGTCTACGAGCCCGACCTCTCCACCCCTCGCTTTCCCCCTCCAGGTGGCTATGGAATGAACCCTTGCTGGATCATCAAGCGCGTCGGCTACGATCAGACACACGGCCGGTGCCCGCCCTACATCATCTACGCCGATCACGACCATCACGAGATCATCCTCGCCATCCGAGGTCTCAATCTCGTCCGCGAGAGTGATTACAAGGTTCTTCTCGACAATCGCTTAGGTATGCAGATGTTCGACGGCGGGTACGTTCATCATGGTTTGCTTAAGGCGGCGGTATTCATTCTTCAGCGCGAGACCGGGGCGCATCGGCCGGCGTCTGGGG